CAGAGCCCCTGGCAGGGCCTGGAGGGGCTCCAGGAGAGCTGGAGAGGGGCTGGGGACAGGGCAGGGAGGGACAGGACACAGGGAGTGGCTGGAAGCTGGAAGTGGGAAGATTTAGGTGGATATTGGGAATAAACTCCTGGCTGTGAGATTGGGCAGGCCCTGGAATAGAATTCCCAGAGCAGCTGGGGCTGTCCCTGGATCCCTGGAAGTGCCCAAGGCCAGGCTGGGCAGGGCTGGGAGCTCCTGGGGCAGTGGGAGGTGTCTGGGATGGGATGGGATGGGATGGGATGGGATGGGATGGGATGGGATGGGATGGGATGGGATGGGATTTAAGGTCCCTCCCAGTCCAAACCAGTTTGGGATTGACGTTTCCAAAGCCCCAAATCTGCAGCCCCAAATGTCCGGTCAAGGCCGGAGTGGCTCAGCCCCATTGCAGAGTCAGGATCTTGGCAAAATAAAATTAATATTTTTAGTTGAGCTCTTCTTAGGCAGGAAGCCCAACCCAAAACTGTGCCAAAATCTCCTGACACGAAGCAGAGGATAGTCAAGAAGTCCTTGGGCTGAGGCCTGGGGGGCAGAGCAAAGCAAATCCTCCTGAAATCCCGAGGAAATGACTTTGCTTCCCTGTTCTCCTGCAGAAGAGGAGTCAGAATGAAAAACTCCAATTCTCCTGTTATTTCCTGAAAATCATCACGGGCAAGGTATTGTGCATTGTTTGGGACTGAGAGGAGACTTTGCTCCTCTTCCTAATTAACTGCTCTGATTAACGCAACGCCCAGGAGTCACCAAAACAATTGGAGCCCCATTGTTTGAGGGAGGAGTGAATACAGGAGAATCTTTTCCTTGGAAAGCTCCGTGGCTTCCTGGGAGTGATTTTGGGAATTTCACTTCCAGAACAGGAACAGGAACATGAATTTCCCCATTCCCAAGTGAGCTGGGGAGGGAATTGTGCCCTGAGCTCCAGAAGCATCTTCCCTCAGAGCATCTTCCACCATCCTTCATCATTATCTTACATATCTGTGTACAATTCTACAATAAAAACTATATTATATTATATTATATTATATTATATTATATTATATTATATTATATTATATTATATTATAGTATAGTATAGTATATTGTATTACTTTCATAGTATTAATTATATTACATTACATTATATTCTGTTATATTGTATTATATTGTATTGTATTGATCTATTCGATTTCATTAGATTCTATTATATCTTACATTTTATTACATTACATTATATTATATTGCATTATATTATATTGCATATTGTATTCTTTATTATGCTATTATATAATATTTTGTTCTATATCATATTCTTTATTAGAATATTATATAATATTTTACTATCAAAACCCGCTATTCACTTCCAAAAATTGTTTAAAAACCCTCCAATTCCTACAAAAACATAAGTTTACTTTCATTTTGTATTTACTAGCAAATACAAAATCTAAGTAAATTTTAACAAAAAATTATAAAACTCTGTCAAGTACAAAAACCACTAAATTTTCCACAAACAAAAAAAAAACCACACAAACATAAATTACACAAAAATTCCAACCCTTGTATTTCATCCATCTATATATATTTGTATAAAATTTATAAAATTTTATAAAAATTATAAACGTTAAGTTCCTTTATAAGTATAAAAGTCAGTAGTATTATAAATCTACAAAATACTACAAAATACTATAAAAATACACAAAATATTACAAAGATGCTATAGAAATTTGCAAAATATTACAAAAATATTACACAAATACTACCCAGATCCACAAAACACTGCAAAAATACTACAAAGATCCACAAGTACTACGAAAATACTTCAGAAACCCAAAAAATACTATAGAAATTCACAAAATATTACAAAAATACTACACAGATCCACAAAATATTACAAAAATACTGCAGAAATCCACAAAATATTACAAATATACTGCAGAAATCCACAAAATACTACACAAACACTACAAAGCTACTACAGAAATAACAAAGTATTACAAAAATACTAGAAAAATACGACACAAATCCAGAAAACGCTACAGAAATACTAGAGATCCACAGAATCCTATAAAAATGCTGCAGAAATCCACAAAATATTACAAAAATAATACAAAGATCCACAAAATCCTACAAAAATACTGCAGAAATCAGAAAATACTACACAAACACTACAAAACTACCACAGGAATAACAAAGTACTACAAAAATACTACAAAAATACTACAAAAATACTACAAAAATACAACACAAATCCAGAAAACGCTACAGAAATACTAGAGAGATCCACAAAATCCTACAAAAACATTACACAACTCCACAAAATCCTACAAAAATCCTACAGAAATGCAGAGAACCACTACACAAACCCACCAAACCCCACAATCGGGGTCCCTTTTCCACACCAAAACCACGGAAGAGTTAAATTCTCCTCCCCTGTGAGCAATGACTCCAGGATATTACAAAATCATGGGGGTTTTCATTAAAAAAAAAAAGCAAAAAAACCCCAAAAAATAGAACTTGAGGCAAGTGTGAAAAGCACGGGGAACACAGAGTTTCTGTGCAAAGTCCTTGTAAAACATCACCAGAAATGCAGCACATCTGGCACTGATTTAGGGCAGAGGAGGAGAAATTCACACAGAAAACAAAATTATTTCAGCACAGGGAGAAAAGTTAAAGCCCTAAAAACATTTCAGCCCAGTCACATTGTTCAGTTTAGAAATAACATTTAAAAAGACACCACAAAAACCTAGCAATGTAAGCAAAAATGCTAATTATTTCATTTGTGAATTGTCATCTACAGTTAATCCACTGCTCTATTGTAATTTTTTTTTCATTTTTAAAAATTTAATTTTTAAAAATTTAATTTAAAAAATCATTTCTGAATTATTACGTACAGGTAATCTACTGCTCTAGTAAAAATTATTTTACATTTTTTTTAATTTAAAATTAATTTTAAAAAAATCATTTCTGAATGATCAAGTACAGTTAATCCACCACTCTATTAAAAATAAATTTAAAAATTAATTTTTTAAAAATAATTTTTAAAAATTCCTTTCTCCATTATCATGTACAGTTAATCCACTGCTTTATGAAATAAGCCCAGACCATTTTCCTTTTTCCCAGAGGAATTCTGCCTCTAGCACAGCTCAGAACAAACCAAATTCATTTAGGGAGCAGTTTCACAACCTAAAAGCCACAACAGAAATAAATGAAATAAAGCAAAATACCACCAGGACATGAATGTATTCCTGGGAAAATGGGAACCTTTGGATTTTATTGCTTAACTCTTTCTGAAATGCATCTGAAATTGTTTAAAATCCATTTTTTTGGCCCAAAGTTTGTCAGTTTTCATTTGCAGAGTACAAGGGACAAGAGAGATTTCCCTGCCAAACTTTAAATCCCAACTCCAAAGCTGGAAAAATAATAAAATAATAAATATTTTTTTTAAAATTTAAAGCAAATAATAAACCACCAGAACTTTTAATTATGGAAAGCAGGGGCTCTTCCACAGCTTCATTCTATGAAGTGGTACAAGAGGAAAAAAATACAGAAAATAGAGCTCAGCATAAATTAATTGTGTTCATAATTATTTTCAGGAAACAACAGAGGAATTGGAGCCATTAATTATCTTAAATCATCTTGTTGGGTTATGAACAGCCAAAAATTATTTTTAAGAGGGGATTTTAAGGAAGCTGCCTCCCATCATTCACCCAGAGCAGAAACACAAACACCAAACATAGCAAAAACTGGTTTTTAAGAATCAAAAGTTCTTCATTAATTAACTGAATTTAAAAGTTAGTTATTAAGAAATAATTAAATTTAAGAGTTGCTAATTAATTAGATGTTCTTAATAATTAAAAGGATTAAATCCTCACAACGACACTTTAAATATCACCTTCTTTTACTGAGAAAAACAGAGAATTTCAGGCTCAGGGGAAATTCCCCAGGTTCACATTACACCAGTAATTTTTATTATTAAATTGTTTTATTATTTGTTACTGTGGCTGATCTCAGGGCACCCTGAGCTCTGTAAAAACCTTTTAGAGTCCCTCAATTCTGGTATTTTGTGCTGTTTATCTGGCCAGCCTCATCACAGCTGAGATCTGCCAGGATTAAGGCATTAATAACACTAATTAAAGAAAAAAAGGAAAATACTCCAGCATCCTCTTCCCCCTCCAAAAATAAGAATTACCATCACTTGAAAAGCAAAGATCAGCCATTCTTCCTTGCAGCAGTTCATCCAACAGTAACAATTCCAGCTCAAAAATCCCGTTGCAGAGCCCTCTCCTTGCAGAGTGTGGGAATATTTTTTACAAAGTTATTTTCTTAGAGCTGGACCTTGAAGAACCAAGAAATCTGTGCACTTCCTGAAGTTTCTGCATTCATTATTCCTGCAAGCCAAGCTTGTTTCATCTCTTTTTCTCCTCTACTGAGCATTTAAAACTCACAGTGCTACAAGGAAAGTCGTAATAAGAGGAGGAAGAGGAAGAAGATTCAGAAGAATCAGAAACAGAAGAAGAATCAGAAGAATCTGAAAAATAAGGATCAGAAGAAGAATCTGAAGAATAAGAATCAGAAGAAGAATCTGAAGAAGAAGAATCAGAATCACAAGAATCAGAATCACAAGAATCAGAAGAAGAATCAGAAGAATTAGAAGAATCAGCAGAATCAGAACAAGATTCAGAAGAATCAGAAAATCAGAAGAAGAATCAGAAGAATTAGAAGAATCAGAAGAAGAATCAAAATAATCAGAATCAGAAGAAGAATCAGAAGAAGAAGAATCAGAAGAATCAGAATCACAAGAATCAGAAGAATCAGCAGAATCAGAATAAGATTCAGAAGAATCAGAAAATCAGAAGAATTAGAAGAATTAGAAGAAGAATCAGAATAATCAGAAGAATCAGAATCAGAAGAATCAGAAGAAGAATCAGAAGAAGAATCAGAAGAAGAATCAGAAGAAGAAGAATCAGAAGAAGAATCAGAATCACAAGACTCAGAAGAATCAGCAGAATCAGAATAAGATTCAGAAGAATAAAATCAGAAGAATTAGAAGAATTAGAAGAAGAATCTGAAGAATCAGAATCAGAAGAATCAGAAGAAGAATCAGAAGAAGAAGAATCAGAAGAAGAAGAATCAGAAGAAGAATCAGAAGAATCAGAATTAGAAGAAGCAGAATCAGAAGCAGCAGAATCAGAAGAATCAGAAGAAGAAGAATCAGAATCACAAGAATCAGAATCAGAAGAATCAGAAGAAGAAGAATCAGAAGAAGAAGAATCAGAAGAAGAAGAATCAGAAGAATCAGAATCAGAAGAATCAGAAGAAGGTGAAGAAGAAGACAAAGAAGAATCAGAATCAGAAGAGGTGCAGAATGAGATTTCTAACACATGCCAGAAGGATGAAACTCCCCTGGATGAGGCTGGAGCACTGTCTCTGCCCCAGATCCATGTGCTGCATTTCCAGGAGGCCACCTGGGGCTACATCTGAGCCCCGGATCCTGGGAATATCCTGGCTCCTGGTTGGGTTTTCCCATGTTTTCCCACAGACCCCTGGTAGTCCTGGAGAATTCCAAAAGCAACAGCCTGCTGCCTTGTCCTTTTAGGAGTAAAATTCCCTGGAACACTTCAAATGGAAATTCATCCATAAAAGCACTGACACAAAACCCAGGGTTTGGAGCTAATTTCCAATTAACTTTGACCTTGTTCACTCCCAGCTTTGTGAAAACAACTTCCTGTGCTTTTTGAATTTTTTTTCCTCAAGGTTAAACCCCAAAGATGTAAAGAAATCAGGAGATATTTGAAGCTCCTGCTGCTCATCTCTCCTCTAAGCTGTGCAAACCAAGCTGCTGCTTTTGGTTTTGCTTCCCTGCTTCTTCAGGAGGAATAAATAAATCTCATTTTTTCAGGTGTTTTCTCTTACCTCATGCGATAATGGAGCCTGAAGGATGATTTTTCCTCCACCTTGAAGACCTGGTTTGGTGCATACCAGAGCTTTTTGTTCTCATCATACAGAGCAAAGAGGTTGTGGCACAGAGGGGACACAGCTGGCACAAAAAAACCACAAATGGATGAATCACAAAGCTCCAGTACATATCCACACCCCAAAACAAAAAAAAACATAAAGCAAATATTGGATCATGAAAAGAAACTGATACTGGGATTAGCTTGAAACAAATAGGTTGAGGTGGAGCTGTCACCTTGGGTCAACCCACGGGGTTTGGGTGGATTAAACAGATATTTCTGGTGTTAAAATGATCCTCAAATCCTGATTTTGCCCAAGGTCTGAGCTTCAAGGAAATTACTTAAAACCTTCATCTTGTCCAGGTCACAGGAAAGGGAGTTTTACCAAACTCAAGTGTTTGTTCTCAGCTTTATTTTATTAATAAATTCAACCCCCAGAGGTGAATGGAGGTTTTGGCAAAGCTTTGGTTGGTCCACAGAGAAAGACCCCAGAGAAAGTTTTGGTCTGTTCCAGCTAAGAACACACTTTGACACCAATGGACTGATCTGCTTTAACTTTGAATTTCCTCCACCCCAGAGCTGTTGGAATTCCTTGCCCCAGCTCTGGGAGCAGCTGCACCTTCTGTGGGTTCACAGCCCCCAAAGAGCACCACCATAAATAGGTGGCTGTTAAATACCCCTCACTGTGCTTCAATCTCTTAAAAAAACAACATCAGCACTCAATTGGTGAGGTTTGTCCTGCAGATTTACATAATTTCACCCATTCCCAAGGAAGAGGAGCAATTAGGCAAATGAGCTGAAGGGGATTACAAGAATCCAGGGGATGTGGGCAAAGAAAACATTTTTTGAGAGCTGCAGGAAAATTCCTGCCCAGTTCCCCTGTTCTCACCCCACAGCAGCTGGACAATGTTTGGTGTTCCATGGGGAAAGAACCCCAGAACTGTAAATACAAAAGCCCAATGGGGTGTGAGATCAAGCAGAGATTAAATCCACTTTTCCTGTGGAGTTACAGGAGCTTTGCTGAGCCCCAGCCTGGAGGAAGGAGCACAGCACAGCCCCTGACACGTGAGGGATGCACACGAGGTCAAAGCAGCTTTGTGGGGATTTATTGGGATGGGGAGGCTCTTCCTCGGAGTGACACACAGAGGAGAGCTGAAATAAATCCAAATACTCACAACACCTCTGGGCAGCCTCAATGCACAGCTCCTCTGAGGTGAACTCGCCGCTGGAGTAACAGATGGGGGCTTTGTCCTGCAGGTAGAAGAGAATTTCCAGCCCCTGGTGTTGAGCTTCCAGGTTGAGCTCATTTCTCCTGGTGCTCCTCATTTTTGCACAGAAAGCCATGGCTTTGCAATCTTCTTTTACGTTGAGATACTGGGAGTGCAGGGAAAAGAACAAAGGGAAACGTGAGGGGAGTTGGAATTATCAGGACATCACTGCTGGCTGGTACCACAATCCTCCAAACCCTCAGGTGGGGATTTATTCAAAATCAACGAGGTGAAAAGGGGGGAAAAAAGAAATATCAGTGATTATTCTGGTTCTGGGAACTCTGCTCCAAATCATTCCCTTCTCTTCTGGTGGTGCCACAGTTTTCCTGCAAGGTTTCTCTTCTCAAAGCAGAAATAACCTTCACATCCTTCAGCACCTCGTTGGCTGCAAAACAACACTTGAGCCCGAGTGATTTAAACAGCTCGTTTGATGTTTCCTTTTGTAAAAAGTCAGCTTCTATTTTTACAGCCCCTTAACAGCAAAATATTTCTCCTCTCCCACCCTTTGTGTTTGAAACTGCTGATGGTTTATGAATCATGATGCATTTTATAAGATTTATTGGCATTTATTTTTTATTACTACTTCTCTGTGTCTCCAGGAGGAAAGGGTAGCACCGAGTAGGTTTAATGCAAGAGCTTTTAGATTGCCAAGGATGCACAACAGGGCAGCTCTGACTCAAAAGATAATTTAATTTTATACCCAGTGCTTAACTAGAAAGAGCAGAAAGTTATTTGAGTTATTTGGGTTCTTTGTTCCATGTTTTTCTAAGCTTTAAAAAGCCCAAACCACCAATTTTATAGTTTATGAAATTAATCCTCCCACCAAAAAACAAATAAAAAAATGAACCCCCAAAGCCAACACACCTGCATTTATGTGCCTGTGGGATCCTCTACACAACTGAAATGGGTCTTCACTCTCCTCAGGAGAAGCTTCACTCTGACTGAAAAAAAAGGAAAAATAAGCATCATCAGGAATGGCTTTGTACAGCTTGAGGCACAAATGAAATGGTCAGGCTGATAAAATTCCACCTGCAGTCCCAGGGAACAGAAGAAATAATAATAATAATAATAATAATAATAACAATAACAATAACTATTATTATTATTATTATTATTATTATTATTATTATTACTACTAGTTGTAACAGAGACATGGATCTGGCCTCAGCCAAAGGCAGGAGTTTGGGCACATCCACTGATCCCTTCTGACACTTTGGGGGCATTGCCTGAGATGAAACCAAAAAACTAGGAAAACCTTGGTTATTCCCTGGATTTTCTCTATTTTCAGTTTGGAATTGTTCTCATCACAAGCCTCAGCTGTGAAACCACAGGGACATTTTCCTCTGTGCTTCACCTCCTCCATGCCTTCATTCCTCACATTTTTCATTAGATATTAATCCCAATTCTTCCCTGCTTTCAGTTTTTCCTTCCTCTCCCAGACTGTAATTTAAAATGTGTCCAAACTAAACCTGACAGTGCTGCTGGTTTGGGAACCCTCACCCATCACTCATCTGATGCTGAAAATTCCTCCACTTCCAGCCTCCATCCCTCCTTTTTCCCTCCTCCCCATCCCTGCCAAAATGTGTTTAAAATAAATGTGTGTTTATTATTTTTGCTTCACCAGTGGGAGGTTAATCTGACCTAGCAGACTTCAGCAAATATTGCTCTAAAAGCCTGAGGCTTCGTCTGGAAAAGTCAGACAGAGCCAAACAACATCCCTGGTGCTTGGGAAGAGCCCAGCAAACCTGATCCTCTCCCAGAAAAAAAATTACATTGAAGAGCCTGGCACACATCCCCAATTAAATTGCATTTTTCTGCCATCCCTGCCACTTGAATGCTGAATTTGAGGTTCCAGACACATTCTCTTGGCAATAATCTGGGGAAGAAGTAATTGCAAGCATGATTTTTGGGATATGCAGAAAAGCCAGGAATTATTTCTGCACAGCACCATAAAATTCAAATGGTTAAAATTAGTAATATTATTAATATGTATTAATACATATTAATAATGTATTAATATATACTGTGGTGTTAATATTATTTCTATGAAAATATTATTTCTAAATAATTTAATATTAATACTACAGTAATATAATTTATACACAGCACCATAGAACTGAAATGCAAAAGGTGAAATTTATTGACTCTCATTAAAACCCCCTTTTAAATTACATATAACTGAAGCTCAATACATTATAATGTCTGTGTGGGCTTAATGTTAAAAAGATTGTCCAGATGTTTTAAAATGTGAGCGGGAATATAAAACCACTGCCTTTTACAGATTCATAAATCCAACTTTTTGTTTTTCAACAGAGCTGCTTTGCTTTGGTTAGAAACTCCTACTCTTGGTTTTAGTCACAGCAATTCCCAGAATCCTAAAAACCTTTAAGTGCTGCTTCATTTACAAAACCTTCTGGGTTTGAACCCAACAACCCAACATCCAATCCATTATTTATTTTTTCCTAATGGGCTTCCCAGACATTCCCCTGCTCATTGTCAGGGATTCACCTTTGAAAAATGCATTTTCATCTTCCAGCAAGGCTCCTTCCAGCCAGCCAAATTCCTGCTCTGTCTGAGCATCCTTCTCCACACCTACACGGTCAAATGCTTCCTCTCTGAAAAGTGATTTTTATCCTTTGCCGCTCTCTCAGAGCTTCACAAATTGTTATTTGTGGTTTTTTGGTCTCTTCTCTACTCCAAGGGATGTGCTCAGTCCCTGCTGCATTTGCTTTTTTTCAGGCCTATTTTAATTTCACATCATTTCTGTTTCTCCCAGTTGAAGTAGCTCTTTGTAATGCACCCTCCACAATATTTTTGGGAGTGCAGGATGTTTTTTTCTTGAGATCCCATTCCCCAGGCAAAGGCTTTTCCTGCTTATTTAAAATCTTGACCCACCCACGGTTGGCCAAGGGAAGCCAGGTGAGGAATTTTCCCTCACGTACAGAGCCCTCAAAAACTCCTGGTATCACAAAGAGTTATGAAATAGAAATCAGTCTGGCCATTCAACTATTAGGATATTTGGGAGATAATAATATTTCGTAAAAACTCAAATTCCTGACTATGATTTACTACATTTGCTGCAACCAACCAGCTCCAGCATTTTTAAGGAAAAAAACAAATGTACAACAGTATTTGCTAAACAATCCCTTTAGATTCGTGCACATCTCAAAAACTAAGAAACTGCAGATGCAGAAATTAAGTATTTTTGAAACTCTGAGTAAATCTTCCTTGAGCCAGAAGGATGCTGCTGCACCAACCCCACACATCACCATAAACCAGGATCCTGGAAGCCAAATGCAAAGAGGGAACGTCCATTGCAGGGGCAAAAGTCCCGAAAACATGAATACAGGAAAATCCCAGCTAAAATCTGACCAACCCAAAACTCACTTTGAAGCACCATTTGCAAGTTCTTCCTCTTTTCTGCCCTCTCAGCCAATCTAGTTGCAGGTTTCCTAACCTCTTAGAGATTGAAAATTTAGATATATACGAGCGCATGCTATTTGTTTTCCACGGGATTCTCTCACCAAATGTACATTTTATTTGCTTTAATTATTTATTATTGTGTTCATTCTCTGCTTTTACTCAGAGGGATCACATCACACGCTGTTTACCCCAAACCAGAAAGAATAATTCCCCGTGGGATTTTCTGTGCAATCCATGCTGTGATATGACTGATCCACTCTGCAAAATTGTGTTTTAAAACAGGGCCAGGAGGGCACAGAATGGGAATTTTCCCCGAAAGTGGTCGACGTGCAGCAAAGTTCTCAAGAACTGAAAACCAGCCAGCCTCATTAGTGGCATGCTAATATTACATATTTCCATTTTTAGCTCTCTCTGAAAAGCAGAGGAGGCCAACCCCTGGTGTGCTCCGAGTGCTTCCCAAAGCCACCCAGCCCCTGCTGCAGGCCGAGGACTGACCCTGCTCCTTTCCTGTGCCTTTCCAAAGCATTTTCAGCCACTTCTCTGAATTCATGACGTGCCACCCGTGTAGGAAGAGGCTTCTCAGCCCTCTCAGAGAGCTGGGTGTTAAATTGTCACCTTCATTGTTCTGCCTGCAGTGGCTGGGGCAGATGCAGGAGCACACAAACACACAAAATCACTTTTTTTTTCCTGTATTACCTGCTCTTTCCAGCCTGATTTTCCTTTGGATACAGACTGGGCTGCTATAATGACCAATTTTTCACAATCTGGTTTGGGTTGGAAGTGACCTTTAAAGGTCACAACCCATCTGCAATGAGCAGGGGCATCTTCAACAAAGTTTTTATAGCTTATAAATGTGTGCTTAATCCTCTTTCATCCCCGATTTCTGGTAGAATAACTTTTAATTATACAGTTCTTGAGGTTTACAACCAATTATTCTATCCTTTATAGTCAACCCCAAGCACTTGTCTGCTAAACCAGGATCGATTCCCTTGGAGGCAAAGAAAGCCTCAAGAAACCATCATGGAAACCTTCCAACAACAACCTGTTTTTTCTGCAATTAAGTTTTAATTACAGAATTAATTTAATTTTAATACGTTTTTCCTCACAACTATCTAAAAAACAGCTTTATTGCCCACACTGATGCTCACGGGGCTGAAGGGGCATTTTGGTTTTAAAGTGATTAACAGGGATGATTTGTTTTTATTCCTGCCCGGGACACGGCATTAATGACCCTTTTCCTTCCTGGATGTTCTCCTCTCTGCTCCCCGTGCCCGGGGCAGTTTGGGGATGGAAGATGGGATGGGAATTCTCTGGAGAAGAGCCACGCCACCTTCCCAGCATTGGGGCAAGCTCCGGGAAGCGCGGCCCCTTCCCGCTGGCACGGCGCTGGTCCCAGGCGTTTCCTGAGGGGCATTTCAGACCCGTGCCAAAGCTTCCAGGGAAACCATCCTGCCAAAATGTCACGGGTTTGACAGCGGCACAATGCTAGTGCTCCTATGAAAATGTAACCTTCTCCATTGAATGCTGTGAAGTGGAATTGAGAGCAGTGTAAAGCAGGCCCAAGCTTAATAACAGGGAAAAAAAAAAACCTTTATTAAGCTACTACTACAAAAGGAAAAAAAGAAAGGAAAAAGAAAAAAAAAAAAAGCACACAAAGATCAAAATGAAAATAGATGGACAGTGAGTTCTCCTAGGAATTTTGCTTTTAACCCCTCTGTATTCTCAGAGGCATGTCCACCTTCAATTAGTCTATATCCAAATTGACCTCTTCCTTCTGGAAAAATTCTTTTCTCGTGTCAAACCACGACACAAACACCTCGGGGATTTTCACGGGAGAAAGCGCTGAGGGTCGTGCAGGGCTTGTTCCTGAGGGCTGCCGTGGCACTGACCCTCAGCAGGGCACCGGAGCGGGATGTGGCAGCGCTGCGGATCCAAGTTAAAACTTCCATGGGAGGGAACTGAATGGGAACGAGCAGGGAGAGCGAGGAGGGTCACACACACGGCAGCAGCTCCAGAGCTCCTGGGCAGCTCACACTCAGCAATAGCTGCATCCAGGGAATGGCTCTGCCTGCTCCAGGAGAGGAGAACACGCTGCAGGCATGGCACAGATCCATGGGAACGGGAAGAATGGAGAAGAACGGGGAACGGAAGAAAACCCACCCAAAAAGGAGCCACGTCTCTGCTGAGTGGGAGACCAGAGCAGGCAAACTTCAGCACACAGCTGGACTGAGATGCTGGACACATCCAGAGGAGGGGACGAGGCTGGAGAGGGGCTGGAGCACAAACCCTGTGAGGAAGCCCTGAGGGAGCTGGGGGTGCTCAGCCTGGAGAAAAGGAGACTCAGGGGTGACCCCAGCGCTCCCCACAGCTCCTGAAAGGTGCCCGTGCCCAGCTGGGGCTGGGCTCTGTCTGCAGGCAGCACTGACAGAACAGAGCACACAGCCTCGAGCTGTGCCAAGGGAAATACAGGCTGGAGAGCAGGAAAAAGTTCTTTACAGAAAGGTGATAAAGTTCTGCA